AAACATCTTTCACTGTAGTGCAGTATCTAATCATTTCCCATGCCTTTAAGATTTCTACGTAAAATGACGGAATTTTCTTTTGAACTAGAATATCATTAAGTGTGGTTATATTGTAGGAGCAGTTCAGCAGTAGCTTGATGCTTCCCAATAAGTTGAACCAGTAAGAAAAAAATGTTTTCCACGCTCCATTACTCTCATTGAAAAATCTACCTAACCATTTCAGTCGGAAGCTGAACAATTGCCTTTGTATGTCAAGTATTTTTATACCACCTTTACTGTAGTCTTCCATAAGAGAAACCCTTTTGATTTTTTTCTGTTTTCCCACTCCAAATAAATTTGAATATAATGCCTTCTATCAACTTCAAAAAGTTTGGAGGGATGGAATCAACCATGATCAAGTGAGTAACTTGGCTAAGTGCTAGACTTTTCAGTACCGTGACTCTTCCAAAAATGGTTAAGCTTCTTTTTGTCCAGCTATCAAGAATTTTCCTCAATTTTATCAACTTCTGCTCCCAGTCCATCTTTAGAGCTTCATTATTATTAAAATATATGTAGTGACCTAAGTATCTTATAGGTTTGTGGGACCATTTCAGATCATGATTCTCTAAATTCTAACTTCTATCAGTGTCTCCTAGCCATATAATGGCTGTCTTTTCTTTATTTATTCTTGGACCTGCTACTTCGCCAAACTGATTCAGTTCATGTAAAATTCCATTTAATGAAGTTTCATCCGGAACAAAAAATAATGTATCGTCGGCATATTGTAACAACTTTAGTTTAAGGTCATACCCGACCATTTCTATTGGTTTAATAATATTATTTTTTCTCACTTTGTTTGCCATGAGCTCGGCAGCTAAGATAAACAGCAGTGCTGACAATGGACATCCTTGTCGTATGCCTCTTTCGACATCAAAACTTTTGGAAATCCAACCATTAACCAATACCAATGAACCAATATCATGAATGTCTTGATAATCAGACAGGCGATCGGCTTGTAAAAGTCATGGGATTCATGACTATGACTATAATTATGATTGCAGCATGAGCTAAATCCAGGATTTTGTTTAGAATCTGAGACAAAGATACCCAATCCCTTTAACCTCGATGGTATCTATTCACAATAACTTCGAGGACGAAAGAAATTTCGCATACAAAAGGGTAATTTGTGTGGCTTTGGAATTTAGGGTACTTTTTTGTTTCGCGAAAAGGAACAATACAAGCATTCTCACAACATTCTCGAGTGTTTGAATGCAAATATACCTGTTTTTCCGAAAAACAAGTCAGGTTACTTTTTGTAAATGCATACTCGATGGCCCAAAAAGAGTTACGATAGTATGTTTTAAACAGAAAAGGGTCATATCGCGAAAAATGTACGGGAAATTTTACGAAAAAAAGGGATCATTTTTTACTCCGCTATGAAACGTTCATGCGTTACTCTTTTGTTTATGATGAGGAAACACCAACGATACATTGTTTAAAACAAAAGATATTATTTTGATTCAGGCTACAATATGTGTTGAAGCATTATTTATACCCTACCCCCACCCTATATTTCGCATAAGTATATACTCGGCGTTTAATATTTACTCTTTTGATTGATAATAACTCAAAACCTACAGCTTGTATACTGCCGTTTGGACATTGAAAAGTTAGAGAGTATTGATTTCTTTTTCAGTATGTTGTATGACGCTCCTTCAAAGTATAGTTTTGAGATAAAGCTTCAGGTTTTTATTTTATTTTTTTGTTGTTACCACTGTCCCCAGCTCGGTCGCTACTCTCTAGCATTAATCGACATATAGTAAGACTGGGAGGCACTCGTTTTTCCTAAGGTTTGTATATCCGAAAGTTCATAAGGTCGAACCTATTGTATTTCGTTCAAACCCAGGCTGAAATAAAGTTACATTATGGAACCACATGTATATGTGTCGCATTTATAGATAAATGTCTCGCCAAATGACGTGAGCGCAATGACAAGGATTCGAACCCTGTACCTTGTGAACTACAACACGATGACTAAACTTATCCACCAGACGAGGATCATCGTCTTTCCCGACACCACCTCTATGGCAAGCACCCAGCTTCTACCGCCTCATTATCTACCATGATCTAAACTAATGGCTATACCCGTAGTCCTGTCAAAGTACGTTGGCCTACATCACTTTCTCTTTGGCAACAAGTCATTGCAAACAGACTGCATGAATAGTATAAACAAATACATGTCTCACATTTTAAGGTTGAAGTCCACCCTGAAATTAATGTTACACACTAAGAAAAAATGGTGCAACTATGCACCTTTAGGGGTTCAAACCGATGCAACAATAGCAGCACCTTTAGGGGTTAAATCCTGCACCCTTTTTAAAGGTGCAATCCTGCACCCTTTTTAAAGGTGCAATCCTGCACCCTTTTTAAAGGTGCAATCCTGCACCCTTCAAAAGGGTGCCAGATTGAACCTTTTGGGGGAAATGTTAGTACCCTTTATGGTTCAATCCTGCACCTTTAGGGGTGCGAACCGATGCAACAATAGCAGCACCTTTAGGGGTTAAATCCTGCACCCTTTAGGAGAGTGCCAGAATGCACCTTTTAGGAGACATGTTAGTACCCTTAATGGTTCAATCCTGCTCCTTTAGGGGTGCAAACCGATGCAATAGCAGCACCTTATTAAAGGGGTTCAATCCTGCACCCTTTAAAAGGTGCAATCCTGCACCCTTTAAAAGGTGTAATCCTGCACCCATCATCGAGGAATACTCGTGCCATTTGCCCGTACACATATACATATTAAACATGCATGATGTTTCTTGGTTAGTAATCATATAATCAATATATATATATATATTGCTAAAACGTGAATGTAATTGTAACATGATCAGACAAAATAATCTATTGGTTAATGATTGCCGAAAAGGAAAATACAAATCACAAAATTGATGTGCATTGTCATAATTTGCTTAACAAATCATATGATAAATGTATTTTTATGTTAACACGTGGAAAGTAATCATGAATATGCATGCAATATGCAAACTTTTATTTTGCACCTTTTTGGGTTGTTAGGGTTCATTTTTGTGGGAAGGGTGCAAAATTTTATATTGCACCCTTTTTTGAACCCCTTTTCCTTCAATAGGGTTCATTTTTATGTAAAGGGTGCAAACTCTTATTTTGCACCCTCTTTTGCACCCTTTTTTCTTAGAGTGTAGAGATAAAACATCCCTCATAATTTCTTGTCATGTATGATGTATTTAACACTGCATTCCCAGAAAATCAATAACCTATAAGAGGGGATTGTTTACCGCTTGTGCATTTATGTACACTCCTTCTTAGCCAAGGTTTTATTCCTCAGAAATGACCATCCTTCACAATGCAGCCCTATGTATATCGTCTTTATATTCTCTCGCTTTCTCTGCTTCTACCCAGTGGGCTCCTTCGGACACACTCCCTGTTCCACGGTCAACAATAATATTCCTAGTACTTTAAGAAATATTATGAGTTACTAAGCCCTAGCACATACCTATACATGATTTGTAAAAATAAGAAATCGGTGTTCTTCTTCTGGTCCTCACTACCTTCAGGTGAGGATTCAACAGCAAAGGCCCCTGCCTTTAGGAAGCAGATGATAGAGGGTGGCCGCTCATAACCGCTTTTATGTCATATATTATAACCCTCTCATCTTGTTGGTATTATCTTCAATAAATATACCATCTTGAACTTTAAATTCTTCGTTTATCTATTCTCTTTAGGGGATATATACTAGTTTATATGCTATCCATAATATATTTTGAGTAGTGCCCAAATGGAGAAGAAAAACAGAAACTGATGATAATTTTTGTACACGATAAAACCGGAGAGTTTTCAGCGACTACGTCACAATCCAATGACCAAACTGGCAATTTGCGATTCGCATACAGATATCTCATATATCATAGGTTGCGTTTATCTAGCAAATTTTTGGCTAGAATCAGGTTTCTCAAACGTCTTTCAGGCAAATTTAGAAGTAGATAAACGCAAAGCCTTTTTCAAACGTCTTTAGATATGGGCATAATTATCTAAAGACGCAAAAAGGTGCGTTTTGAATGTGACATACAGCCAGAACCACGTTTCTGAGAGATCGATAAACGCAAAGCTGTTTTGAACCTCACATACAAATATGATCACCCAGGTGTTGTGTACAAGCATACGTGTGAAGTTGACCTCCGAGAAACTGTCTGCTTCCCGGGTCAAAACAGCTGGGCAGACACAAGACCCTTATTTTGAATCGTGAAGGGTCGATAAACGCGACATCCGCAAATCACGATCGTATAGTGGGGTTCGATAGTGGGGTACGATATGTACATATCTAGTGGCAAGCCTAGATAAACGCGCTCATAAATAAACGTTCTTATCATTGGTCCGATCGACTTCACTTTCACCATTCTGTTTATCCTATCTTTTGCACAATGGACTTATTATTACAAGGGTTGGGTTGCAAGCTGAGATGAAGTCAAGAGTCTAGAGTAACATAAAGTAATTCTAGAATTATGCGAACAATGGGAACACAGACTGTCATAAACTGGTCCAGGCCGCTTTACAAAATAAGGAGTAGCGGGGAATAATTTTACATGTCATGGATAAGTGTAATACTGTAATGTTCTTAATTACTGATACGAAAACATTACAAGAAATACACTTGTCCTTGATATTTGGTCCTTTCATTTACAGACAAATTTAGAAATATGACAGCAACATGGACAAGGATTGCAGGCTCAAACATCAAAACTGTAAATGACAAAATTATTTACAAAATTTAGCATACGTTGTGTTCCAACTCGCAGAAACATTAATCCGGATTTTCGAAATATTTGAATAGAATGAAATCACTGAAATATTATGTTACTCTATCTTTATAAAAATAATGTGTGGCTGAGAAAAACAATATCACAAAGGTTCTTTGTTTTCCCATGTTACACTGCCCGAATATCTCTCTCAATATCAAGAATCCTTCAAACATAATAATTGTAAATACTTACCTGACATCTCCTGCGCTAAAGCATTGTCCTGAACTGAACTGAACTAAACCATACCATGATGTAGAGGTAGTATTACATTTGCTACTGACACGTTTTATGAGACGAACTGCTGTGCGCCAGTGCCAGAGAATCAGCTTCCTTTCTTTCGAGGACTGAAGGAAACATCAAACATTATACCAGATATGTAACCTGTCATACAGCGGAGATTTTTAGGATCAACGAACTGTGTATGACAGAATGACCATTGCCTTGGCTCGATCGCGATCAGCTGACTGACCAAAGATTGTTAGCCTATTTTCAGGAGCTGCTCTCTATTTTGCTTCCTCATTCTCTCCGTTATTGTCCGCCATTTGTAAACTCCCTTCCCTCCCCTTCCCTCCTCTTTCCTTCTTCACTGTGCATGCACACATTATTTTATTTGCACATACTGTGTGATGGATGCGAATGTGTGCACACACGCACACACTGTTAGTATCAGGGTGATTCGACCAAAGATCACGCGTGTAAAATTACAATTGCAGAAACTCCGCACAATAAGTGCACAATAAAAAATATAAAAAAGACTCGAACAATGTAAGATATAAAAGAACTGAAGGTCATGTCCGGCAGGGGCGTACGCAGGATTTTTTCAAGGGGGGGGGGGGGGTTTAAAATCGGGCCCAAAATTTTGCAACGACTCAGCTTTATTATTTTGCTCAGTGGGGGGGGGGGGGGGTGGGAGGGGGGGGGGTAAGAGGACATTTATTTTGTTTTTGTTTTGCTCTCGAAAAAATTGCAACGACTCAGCCAGCCGCTGAATAAGCGGAGGGGGGGGGGGGGGCAAGAGGACCCTTTTTTTTGGGGGGGGGGGTCTCGAAATTTGGAAATTTGACATTTTTTTGTTGGGGGGGTGAGGTCACCTTTTTTAGGTCAGCCATGGGCATAATTTTTTTTTAATTTTTAATATAATTAAAAAAAATAATAAAAAAAAAATAAAAATACCAAAGGGGGGGGGGGTTTTAGGGGGGTTTACACACATAACAATACCAAAGGGGGGGTTCAACCCCCTCCCCCCCCCCCCCTGTGTACGCGCCTGGTGTCTGGTGTATTGTTTGCAACATGAGTAGCCAGAGGTCGCGAGCAACACAAATACTGAAGGATCATTTGTGTGAAATAGGAATCCATTAGTTCATTTATATTTTGGAAAGCTCATATCTACAGCAGTGTATATTTTGGAGGGGGGGGGGGGGGTTCATACATCATTTTAAAAAAATGAATAACAAAATATATATAGATCAGACAAATTTGGGATGTTGCGTGATGATGAAATCAGGAAAACTACAAAATCTTCCAGAAATCGGTTTAGACGAAGTGTAATGAAATAAGATTAAAAATGCGCATTGTTAAACCCATCAAGTTCCGTTTATTATAAATAGTCGGATCCAATAAACAAATTCTTCAAATTTCTTGGTGTAGGCTTAAGAGGATCTGACTGACTCTGATTAAAAGCATCGAAACACGATCGCAAATCTTTTCATAATTTTTGAAAAGCTTTTTGGTGACCCTTGATCATGTTCGTTAAAAAGTGGACAAAATATCAGATGACCTTTTGCCCCTTTTATGGAACCAAAATAAAAAAGAGTAGCCGTGGTATAAGGGGAAATTGAAGTAGAGTCCTGGTTCTACCATCAAACAGTAATATGCCTTGAGCATTTGATTGTCAAGTGGATTTGGCGCCTTATAAATCGTATGTATTATTATTAATATTATTATGTAATGATCCGATAGCTTTCTCCAAGTTCCTATCTAAAGGAAAGTGACAATCTGTGCTAGAATTTCAACTAGATTATTGGAATGTATTATATCGATCAGAGGTAGATGTACATTATGTTTGAAATACCCTGTAAAACAAAAATGTTTGGGTTTCTGAAAAATAAGAAAAACAGTAGTATATTCATTAGTAAACAATATATCAAGGCCTGTTAAAATTTCGTTTCGATTTGATATCGTGAAGGAGGCAGGGTTAGGTATGCGATTGGATTTAAGAGATATTGTGGGTTAGGGATATTAGTTTTAATGTTAGAAATTCGACTAGTTTCAAAGAAGAAAAAAACTCCGGAGCAATTGTCGCGAGAGCCTTTCCTTTCAAGAAGTCGTTGGCGATTTCCTAAACGATGGACTATCATATAGGCCAGTATGCTTATTCCTTTTATCTGTGTGGTCAAGAATAATAAGTATGTAGGCCAGCAAGTCAACATATACCTAGTATAAAAAACTACAATTTGGCAGCAAATAAACAGACTAGAGTGTGACTGTCGATCTTGATATTGTATGCAAATGTGTCATTATGTAGGTTAGGGCATGTGGATAGTGTGTAGGTAAACGAACTTTAGGTCTTTAGTTGAATGTATTGTTTGCAAACAGATTTTATGTTGCAGAACAGATTAGCCCAATGTTGACTGAATTCATATGATGGAAGTACGTCCTCTACGCCAAAAATCTCCCCATTTAAAAATCTTTCGAAGAAATCCACCCGTCCTTTTATATTGCATGATACATGTACATGTATATTAAAGTGTTTTTTTGAATTCACAGTCTTAACTGCCGATTTCTGTTTTTGGAGGGTGGGGCGTGGAGCAAGTTATCTACTCCCCCTCCCCCCCCCCCCCCCCCCCCCCCCCACCACTCTACCTGAAACGACCATCAGCATAATTATAAGGATGTGGGTCACTATATATGGAAAATAATTATTATTCCGATTGATGCATTACCTTCCCCGATCATGAACACGGACTGACGCCTCTGGTTATCGAAAAGGGGAGAGCGAGAAACAAAAATAGAAATAGAGAAATAGAGAGAGGGGTAGGGCGGAGAAGAGAGAGATGGAAAGGGGGGGGGGGTAAGAGAATTGAGATGTACAATGCGTAATTCCCAATCGTTTCCCCTTTGTCTGAAGAATTTATACTCTCTTAACATATTTTCTTTCTTTCTTTCTCTCTCTAGATACTTTCGGCGGGCGGTGGGATGGTGGTGATGGGGGGGGGGGGGGGGCTGGGCGTAAGAAAAGTTGGAAAAAAAGAAGAAATGTTTTAAGTGGATACATGGATTTCTACCTGTCCTCTCTCTCTTTCTCTCTATCTCTTTTCCTTTCTTCGTCCCTTTCTACTTTACATTTTTCTGTCACCAACCAACCTATTTACTTATATTTTTCCTCACTCTCAGGGGCGGATCCAGGAATTTCTTCCCAGGGGGGGGGGGGGGGGGGGGGGCACACGGGGGGGTAAGAGGGCATATATATATTGTTCCCAAAAAAATCGCAACGACTCAGCTAGCAGCTGAATAAGCGGGGGGGGGCAGGGGGAGGGGGGTGCGCAATATTTATTTATTTATTTTTGTTTGCCAGTACCTTTTTGGCGAATTTGGGGCTGATTTCAACATATTTTTTTATCCGGGGGGGGGGGGGGGCACGCGCCCCCTGTCCCCCCCCCTGGATCCGCCACTGACTCTTTCTTATCATTTTATCCGTTTTTTTTTCTCACTCTCTTCCTTCCCCGACTATTTGCCGTCTCTTTTTTTGTTATATACTGGTCTGAAGAAAAAAAAAATCGGAAACGACTTCGGGTACGATAATTATATGTATTTATTATTGCCAGTCAAATAACAAATGACAAATACAAAATATAGGGTCCCTACACGGAAATGGCACCACTCTTGCCTTATCAAGTCATGTAGGCATAGGTGCCACACAGTATAGCAGTAAAGTGTCTCTGAAGCTCCTCATCCCAGATTTTGCTCTTTGTTGTGGCATAGAGACGCCCCTGTTTCAATCATTATTTGGGCGATGGGGCGCTGTAATCGAGTAAAGGAAAACAAATATCGAGTGCCTTTTTACAGTCATAACACGTTCTTAAATCAATTTACTTCTTCTTTATATTCGTTCTCTATTTATTGGATTCACAACTTCTAAGCCTAAAAAATTAATATTAATGTTGAAGTCGATATATTATATCCAGTGAAGATATAGAGCGCCCTCTAGTTTTGTTTAACAACTGATCCGTTCATGCTTCTTCTTGAGAAAGGTGCGATGTACCCGAAGTATTTCTTGCATTCCTTCCTTGCACGCTTGTTGATGAAAGTATAAATAAGCGGATCCCAGATAGCATTCGTGTATCCTAGCAACATGGTGAAGACCCCAAACCAATGACCCTCGCCGACCCGGATGTAGTTGGAATGGACAAGCAGGTAGGGCATCCAGCAGATGAGCGTGGTGAGGACGAGGAGGGCGCCTGGCAAACATAAGAACAGAAAGGGAAAATAAATTGCAGAATAAAATATGTAGATATCTGCGTTTAACAAAATAAAAAATATTCATCATTCCATAAAGAAAGTCTGAACGACTTGATGATTACCCATTTATTAGATAACTTGAAATATCTAAATAGGCTATTCATACATCCGATAACACAACAAACTCTGCGACGGCTGATGTATGTTAATTTGTATGATAGGTTATGAAAACTTTCATCAGGTCATCAAAGGCTGATCAAATAGGTACCGGCTACGAACTTATTTTGGAAGAACTTGAAAATATTTGAAAATTCTTGCATATAAAGATGTTCCAAATTTGCGGGTTTTGTCATCATCTGAATATAAATGTCTGGAACAGATTCGTTTCGTATCGGCCTTTTCCAGAACCGAAATTTTTTCGTCAAAACAAATTGTCCATGTTTCCACAAAAACACGTTTTATCATGCATAATGATGGTTCAAACCGCATTCATAAATATTTCACTCTGATATGATTTGATGGTTCTAGGACCTCCTAGACATCCACCCCCTGATAACCATCCCAAGTCAACTACCCCTAGGACAAATACCCCTCTAGGTCAACTACCCTCTAGGTCAACTACCCCCTAGGGCCACCACCCCTAGTACGACTACCCCATGGGGAAACTACCCCCGAACAACTACCCCCAGTAAACTACCTCTAGGACAACTACCCCCTAGAACAACTTCCCCCTGACAACTACCCCCGGACAACCACCCCCTAGGACAACTACCCCCGGACAAATACCCCCAAGACAACTACACCAAAGACAACTACCCCCAAGACAACTACCCCTACGAAAACCATCCTCTAGGACAACTACCCCCCCCCCCGACAACTATCCCAGTAGGTAGTTGTCCGAGGGTAGTCCGGGGGGGGGGTATTCGTCCTAGAGGGTGGTTGCCCTATGATGTAGTTGACTGGGTATGGTTATCCGGGGGTGGATATCCAGGGGGTAGGTGTCCGGATACGATGATTGCATATCTAAAACCAAGTCAGGTTGTTGACGGTTCGTACAGAATGATCAGCAGTCTTACCCATAATGGCTACCCTCTTGTCTATAGAGAGTTGACTCTGTCTCACTTCTCGCTGTCTATTCTGATCACGATCCTGACCAACGAAGTCGGAGTCCTCCCAGCTTGGTTCGGGTACGGCGGACTGCGTACGGGACTTGTTCGCTATCGCTGTCGTTGCCAACGTATCTATGCTGCCGGCCTTATTGCAGTAAGATTTCTGTTCCAGATTGTATATTATTTCCATTTTCTCTGACTCTAGCGATACCTTGTTATCTATGGCATCTCCTTGAGCGTTTGGCTGTTGCTGGTGAGGTTCCTGCCTTTTGTCTTGACTCAGGTTTATCTTGTTCTGCTTGTTGAGCTGTATCTGACCATGTGATTGGTCTAGAGTTTGGCAGCCTGGCTGGCAACCCGGTTGGCTTCCCGATTGGAACTTCTGATCATCAGCGGCAGATTGATCCGTGGGTGATGTCGGCAGCTGCTGCGAGACCATCGCCGAATTATAGCCGCTAGGCATGGACTGTCTTTTGCTGCGTGACATCCTTCTGCGATCCTTGTAGGCCGAGTATTCCCTTTTGCTGTAAGACCTCAGAAGCTTCTGTTTGGTCCAGATGAAGTACACAATCGCCGCGTAGCAGACGGCAACCATCGGTATCGCTAACCCGAAGATCGATATCGCGCAGACGATGCGGAAAATATTGTGATCCCATCGTGGAGAGCAGTGCCATGTGTTGAGCGAGTAGGAATACTCAGAAAGGACGTCGACAGCGGGCATGAACGCCATGAGGAAAGCAGAACTCCAGGAGAAGGCGATCATGATGAAGATGCGAAAACGGTTCGGAGGGAAACGGCTTGAGTAGACTACTATCAGGAATCGGTCGATGGCTATGGCTAGGACTGTCGGGAAGTTTGCTAGGGTGAACAGCGTTGCGAAGAAACCGTTGACCTATAAATATGGAAAATATAAACAAGAAATATCAAACACCTGTCATTTTATCTTCTCTATGAGCTTTGTGTTCGTATCAAATAAAGGGAGAGCCCTACCCCCCCCCCCCCCCCCCCCAAAAAAAAAAAAAAAAAAAAAACATTTTGGCTCGGTAAAGGCATCCCATTTATTTAAAAAAAAAAAAAACATCCTTAAAAAAAAAGTGAAACTTATTCCCAGACTTGACTTGACTTGGTTTATCGTGAACACTTCTGCACATGACTCAATGACATTGAAAGTCGGAAATGATTATGCTCATCATATTTTTTCGGACATCATGATAAACAAGAAGAACTGTGCCACAATTTTAATGTAATTTTCGCACTGTTCCTGTGAATACGGATAACCATCAAGCCTTTTCTCCTTTAAAGTAGAGGTGTCGTGGTCGAGTGGATATGTCACCGGACTGTGGATCACAAGGTCCGCGGTTCAAGTCCCGCCGCGGCACTAATGTCCTTTGGCAAGACATTGATCTACATTTGCCACTCTCCACCCAGGTGTTAAGATGGGTACCCGGTAGGATGCGAAAGTTAATGTGGTTGGATAAGCAAATGGCGCTTGTAAAATTGCGACTGGCTGGAATACTCCCCAGGGAGTGGAAAATGTGCATACATTGTGTTGCGGGTAGGCCTGAATCCGATGACCGGGGCAATAATTATGTTCCGCGCCTAGAAACAAAGTATTAGGCGCATTATAAATGTGAGCTATTATTAAAAAAAATCATCTGGCCATGCACAAGAAGGTCCCGTGATTAAACGACATGGCAGATTTTCTAACTGTTCGTGGTTTGGATTATATGAGTTTCTAGTTCTGAAGGTCTGAAACGTGCATGTTCCAAGATAGACACATTATTTCCAGAAGAAACCTTGCAATTAATGATTCCGTTGATGGTAGGTTTACTCGCGAGACATGTATGCAGTCGACAATGTTAATAATCATTTCATTCTTGATTGTCCTTGGTATAGATTAGTGCTCCCGTACATGATTCATAAATCCGCATAACCTTTTATCTTTCTCTTTTGACTGCCTTACTATCGTGGTAAACGATTACTTATCCAGACAGAGTAATGAAAATAACCTTGGTGATGGCTATTACGGTCCCAGGACATAAGATGATATAATCATTGTCCTTAGAGTGGGATCGGATTATTGTTCCCTTTAAGGAGAGGAAGACGAGCGCCCAAACACACATGATTAGATCGCTAGTGGGACCATACATATTGCCCCTGGCACACGAGGCGTTAATTCCATTGCGCTATTACCTGCGCTATTCAATCTGCAGAGGTGGATTGACCCAACGTTCAATTATTGTTTGCGCTATGCATGGTGCATTCACTTTTTGGCCGAGACCACTCTCGCATGGTGCGTCAGAGACTCCGCCAGTCAATGACGCAGTCCTCCGTCAGTGAAGTGACGCATCGTGTGCATCATCCTTCAATGACTGTGATAAGCATGGCATTCATTAAGAAAAGGATTCACATGTATGTCTCCCGATGGTAAATTGAAAAGAAACATTTCCGGAATATTATTGTCCATCGTGGGCGTCAGACAAGCTAGATGAGTCTATTAGTGTTCTGAATCAAACGACATGACCCAGACGGTTTCCGCAGACGAGATGCACCCCTCAACCCGGAAACATGGGTCATTACAGTGATCCCATGGTGATCGTTATTACCCCTCCTACTTCCTTTAAAAAGGAAACCAATCCATGCATGATTAATCAGTCCGAAAAAATGTAAAACAGAAGATAGTTTTCGAAGAATTGGTCCACGTAGTCGAAATTATTGACCAAGGGGTACGATGTCGCTTTAGTGATTATGAGGGCGTAACATCCATGTTTGGAATTTCTACTGAAAAATCTCAATTTGGGTAATACTAGGGCTAAAATATGAATTTGAGGGTCCTTTTATCCTTCGACATCAAGCTTTTTCCTCACATTCTTGTTCGAAGGGGATTCTAACCTTGGCTGCCAAAATTAAAAATCTAAGGATTTCTATCATACTTTTAAAATCTCCATTTTACTTGTTAATGGAGGGGGGGTGGCTGTTGTTCAAATTAAAAATACTTTTTCAGGATGCCTCCACGCCCGCTCTCTGATGTCAATGTAATGTTTGTTTTACCAATCTACTTTTCGTAAAGCGAAAACAATCTGCCATTAGTTTCATTCACAACATATGATTCCCAAACGAAACACTCTAAAATTTCCCGCCTTTTACAGTGGACAGGATGGAAAGTGTTACGTAATGTGGGGAAACTTTGATACCAGGAAAGCCCCAGTCATTTCCTTATGAGGAAAACAGTTCTTTGAAATATTTATCCATTGAGCTCTAAGTCCAGTCTGGAAATTAAGAGCAGAACTCTAACATTAATTTCTCTTCGAGGTCGCAAGCATCAAATTTAAAATTTAGACTTCCTTGTGGCACTCGTTCGTCTATATTTATTTTATTTCCGGATCATTTTCTGAAATGTTTATATCAACGTTTTTAGCGATCTCTACATCTTTGAACTCTTTTCTTCAATGAAAGATCACGGATCGATAGCTTTGTGCAGCGATCTGTATTATTTTTGTCGCGTTAACTGGAATATATCTATAAAAATATTTATGAAAACACCGTGACGTTGGAAAAATGAAACATCCTTCTTATTCTTTTAAAGTACAAATTTCGTATATTTCAATACAGTTTGGTATAACTTTCCAAAAAAATAATCTTACCCATTCATTAAATGTTTAGTATTGATTGGTATTACTCGGAAAAAACATTTGCAATATATGAATACATTGGTTATCCGCGTTTTGTTACAATACGTTGGAAAATGTGCATGTCGTGTTGAATTTGATGACAAAACCAGCCTAAAGCCAAGTTATAGCCCATTGACCAACATTGTTGAAGTGGAAGTCTATATACTCTGACATTTATTACTTTTATATTCTTAGTCATATTTGGGTCAAAATTGCAGTGACCTTTTTTTTTGGTCAAATCAACTAAATGTCATGAGAGACTTCCCTTGTCAAGGTCAGCAGGTTAAATGATTTATTGTTATAAGTTAAGGGTAAAATTAGATTGTCTCTTGATCAGTCTGTGCGGGAAAGTACTATTTATCATTGATTAATTCCAGAATAAAATAGCCACAGGAAACTTCGGATACGACTGTACTTTATATGGGGTCAGTAATTATACCAGGACTTAGTAATGTAAATTGGAGACTGTACAAGCTGCATAGTTAAAAGTCGGTAACTAATTCAGTTCCCTTTTAGTGTGGCGGACTTCAATCATACCGAAAATCAAATGGTCAAAAACCTGTATGTCTAAATTTTACAAATAGACTGACCAAGGTGACAACATTTTTTTTTAAATCCTACATGTTCTTCTTCTTCTTCTTCTTCTTCTTCCAGTTAAGTGCTGCTTCAAGGTGATGAAGATAAACGCGGAGACTTTCACATATCCTGTTATTCCACATTTTAACTTTTTGTTCTTGTTGTGCAGGTGCATATAATTATACATGTGTAAGTAAATGTTATTTGAATGAACATCTCTCCCCTTAGTGACACACATGTTCTGTAAATATCCATATCGTTTAATTAGTTTCTGTTCTTTATCATGTATGCTGAAAAAGTGTTAACTGTTTTGTCTCGTGCGGTGTTATGTCAGGCACTGACCTCTTGAGTAGCCAATCAATCAATCATGATCAAACTGTAAACAGGTGAGTCAACTCTAGCCCTTACATTTTCGACATAATAATAAAATAGGCCATTTTCGTAATGTAATTAAATTTAATGTACACATCTTAGTTAAGTGCCTCGTTACAATTTATTTCATTCACCTGTTACATATAGTTGTATCATAACAGTTAGAATGCGAATTGTATATATTACGTGGTGTTAGGTAGGATGAGCCATCATGTTTGTCCTACCTAGCAACAATTAAGTAATTAACCACGGAATTGTACTAAGTATTAATTGTGAAACTATTGCGAGCATCATGATTGCAACATATACAGACTGATATTTAAGCCGATAAATAGTCAAATTTCCGGCGTTGTAATCACAAACATTCATTATTTTAACTGAGCATTAAGGATGGAACTGTTAAAAAATAACCTTACGACTTGTCCTACTTAAAAACACGTAATATGTGCAATTCGCATTCTGACTATTCAGATACAATTATACATATCAGGTGATAGACATTATTTGTAACATGGCAAAGATTTATGTATTAAATTTGATTACGTTACGAAAATGGTCTATTGGGGTGTCACACCCACCTCTTATAAAACTGTCAGTGACGCCCATGCTCTGTACTTATCTCTGTCATTTAACTACATTCTGCTCAATATCTGTGTTCTATCTCTTGCAGTGGTTTGTTACTGAATACATGACCAATCCATCAACAATCATTCGCTTGTCACCCAGTGAGTCAAACCTGCATGAGTCTGGCATTATGTAACAGTTACGTCATTAATGCTCAGTTAAAATAATGAATTTTCATGATAACAAGGACGAAACTTGCACGATTCGTCATATTAAATATCAGTTTTTAGACATGGTCTACTAAAACAGTCAATTTACACTTTGAATCATGATGTTCACGATAGAATCACAATAGGGATTTTTAGATTTGCACGACGACATAGTGGACTGCTACGTGTGGCGTCCTTAAGGCACTGTGGTGTCCTTTTAAGGCACTGCCAATGCTTTATTAGGATGTCACACGTAGCAGTCCACTATGTCGTCGTGCAAATCTAAAAGTCCCTAGTGAACATTAGTACACGTCGGTGTTTATCAGTAAGTGATTGGAGTATGTTTAATAAATGAAAGTGATTTTCATTACAGTTACAATTAAACTTTCTGGTATTCACGATCAATATTTCCATATCGGTAGAGGTCTACCATAAATTATAAATAGATTTTACATACCTTGCAAAGAATTGGATTGTTCTGCAAAAGTAACCCATCGTCGAAGATGGAATATAGGGCGAAAGGCATGCTGGTTAGTGTGATCCCCAAGTCGGCAACACTGAGATTCAAGACGAGCAGATGGTGAGGAACGTTTCTCAGACTGCGCAGGCGTAGAATGGTTCCTATAGCAACCGTATTGGCGACCAAAGATGTGATGATGATTATCCCAAGACTGGAAGAGTGGTCAGTGTGAAAGAAGACGTACACATTTTTAAAAGCGCGCATTTGCAACTAAACTAAAGGGAAATTCAACATTGATAGGAAACTACTGTAGAGGAAAGCAGAAAGACTGTTGAAAGTTTAAATGAAATCGGACAAGAAATGAAATAAATTATACATTTTTTAAAGTTAGCTGAATCGGTAATATCTCTGTGATGTAGAGGCGAACAACTCTCCCACTTGTTCCAAACACACAACTGGTGATTTTGTTTTAAACGTAAGACTCAGAAGGTCTTTTCTCTCATATGCTATATCCAAATATATTTCGAGTAATGCTCTAAGTTTGAAGCGCGTGAGAGAAAAGTAAATAAATAATATATTTGTTCACGACAAAACGGGAGGGTTATCCTCGATTACGTCACAATCCAATAACCAAACTAGCAATTTGAAATTCGCACGTATTAGTGATCTCATCTTTCAATCATTCATAACTTTCTTACTATTGGTCTGATTTATTAAAACTTTCGCCATTCCGCTTCGCTTATTCTTATGCTTTTATACAAAATAATGAACTTATCATAAGGGTTAGATTGCCCTTTAAGTCAAATCAACCATATTTGAAACACAATGGAAATCTGATCTCAACATGCTCATAGGTTAACCTTATTAACACCATTTTTGTGGGAAGTTGAAATAGCTCATGTTTATAAATGGAAAACACTTTGTGTTTCACAGAACTCGTCTCTTTATAAAACAAAACTAATTAGAAGAAAGACTGAAAGTGCCTTACATTTCATGGCATACGTTTACAACCTAACCTTTTATAACAAATTGTTGCAGTTCCACGGAGATGATATCATTTTGAATTACAGAGGGGGGGGGGGGGGGGGACAAAGTGCACGCTTGCACTTTGCTTTACATACTACTACAACGATATTCTTTCATTGGTATACAATAAGGCATTGCGCTCTCAGTATTTGCTGTTACCAGCAATTATTTGATACTGTAACTAGCAATTATTTAATACCGTACTGCAGCAATGCTCACCTAAGTCGCAAATGATTATCAAAAGGAATCTATTACTTTTCATGGAGTCTAAAGATAAACAGACTCATTAATTACCGTCTTTCAACATTTTGACATTGATAACTCCGTCAGTCCTTGTGAACTTCCGCATATCGGAGATTTAATTAAAACTAAGGATAGGAATTAATCAAACTTAATCTAGTATGATTCAAATGTAGGTTTAAAGCTCACTAACCATTCAAGTTAGGAATGGGGCAATGACACATGCGCTGTCCGTTTTCACAACCCACTCTCCTCATACTACCAAATAATGGTCTGAATATCACAATACTGGTTAATAAGCGTTTTTAACATACACTATTTTTTTTACTAGTAAAACTGTGAAAACTACAACGGACTTCTATTCCAGTAAATACGTAAGCAAATGTAAACTCAATACTAAGAATGTTCCTGAATACTTCGCCTAATGAAGAATTAGTAGTTGGTTGAGAAACTGTGCATTTTGTATGAGTTTAAGATACAATGCCAAGGTTTTATTTCTTTCTAATTCATTTGTTATCATCATAACGCCAGACGGGTAACATTGTTTTACCTTACACTCTCGCAAAGTAGTAGCCAGTTGTCTTGATGAGAACGGACACCATTCCCATCTTCAAAGTGAGTCCGGTTACCGTGGAGCAGAGGCGTTGAAGTCATACTGAATTGATCTTGTTCCATCGTAATATGCAATGCTTCTTCCCTATAACCACATAATTATCTGGATACAGTTGAAATCATCTGTAACAAAACAGAAGTTTGAAGTTTATTAACAACAACAAAAATGTAAGAACATCATAAAACAAAGTATGTAAGGCAAAACAATAAATTACAAACTGTACATAATGTACAAAACAACGAATTACTGCTAAAGCTCATTTAATGCTTACATAAAGCACATTTATACAAAAGTTCAAGTTGTTGCTAAAAGAAAAACGAAAGTTAGCACAAGTGCTAGTCGAGATCGGTTTTCTCTGTTCACGTATATCGATAGTGTATCTCTTCATTACTTTAGCATTATACTAGTTCTTACAATTATGTTGTATACATTCAAGTACAAAACAATACTAACTGCTAACATAACAGATAATTTATTTGTTTATCAAATACATTTTGAGGGTATTGCGAAATGAATATCTTGTTTTTTAGTCTCTAATCTTCTGAGGTAAGCTATTCCAAAGCTTCGGTCCAATAAAAGAAATAGTGAATGTACCTTGTGTCGTCCTACAAAAAGGGTAGCATTGTTTTTCTTTTTCTATTGTTTAAGTATGGTGTACAATCTTACAATAATCTAATAATGTGTGTGGCAAATTTCTATTATACAAATCATATACAAATGTTAAAACTGCCAGTTAATGCAAACCCAAAACATCCAATATCCCCAATTGTTTAAAGAGAGGGGAGAGACAGAAAGGGAGAGAGAAAAAGAAAAAAAGGAGTGCGAGAGAGAGAGAAGGAGAGAGAGAGAGAGAGAGAGGAATGTGTGTGTGTGTGTGTGTGTTCTCATCAATCGTATACTAATCTTCTTTCTATGTTCTCAAACCTTAAGTCATGTATCTGTGATTTTTCATCTTCTTTCTAGCCAACATTTGTGAAGGGTTAATTCCTATAGATGTGACATTCGCTAAAGCTGAGATTACTTCGTTTCTAGCATGCCTTGTGTTATGACAGCCCGGCATATAGAGCTGAGTTTGTGAATGTTATGAAATGTCACTGGTTGATTGAGGCATCATCCTCCCTTCCTTCCTAGCCGCCTCCTGCCCGTCGGTCATGAGGCCGAGCACCTGCAAGAAAGGTCTTATCCCTCCTCCTTCCCCTGATTCTCGTTCTCCTCCTCCTTCTTCTTCTTCTTCTTCTTCTTCTGCTTCTTCCTCTTCTTCTTCTTCTTCTTCTTCTTCTTCTTCTTCTTCTTCGTCTTCTTCTTCGTCTTCTTCTCCTCCTCCTCCCTCTTCTTCTTCTTCTTCTTCTTCTTCTTCTTCTTCTTCTTCTTCTTCTTCTTCCTCCTCCTCTTCTTCTTCTTCTTCTTCTTCTTCTTCGTCTTCTTCTCCTCCTCCTCCCTCTTCTTCTTCTTCTTCTTCTTCTTCTTCTTCTTCTTCTTCTTCTTCTTCTTCCTCCTCCTCTTCTTCTTCTTCTTCTTCTTCTTCTTCTTCGTCTTCTTCTCCTCCTCCTCCCTCTGCTTCTTCTTCTTCTTCTTCTTCTCCTCCTCCTCCCTCTTCTTCTTCTTCTTCTTCTTCTTCTTCTTCTCCTCCTCCTCCTCCGTCTTTTTATTCTTCTTCGCCTTCAACTCTTTTTTTATTATTTCTTCTTTTTAAATACATGCATGCTACTTCTATATCAATTTCAATTTCAATTTCAATTTATTCATGTTTCCAACAAAACATTACAAATCAATTATAAGCATTTAAGACAAATGTAAGAAATACATGTTGGAAACAGATGGGTCCACTAAAAAGCAATGCTTGTACAAGTGTGAACACCTCAAATGATACTTATGAATAATTCGTAATTAAATTAACTAATATTTCTTATTCGTTCTCCTTCTTCACCTTCTCTTTTTATCTTCTTATTTATTAAAAATCGTTTCAGTTCACAGACACGGGTAAAATCTTTCTGCATGTCTACTATCGCTATCAGAAATAAAAATGGAAAAAAAAATTATGGGGTTTTCATGAGGTCTCAGATAACCCTCCGTTGCCCTGCACTTTAGATAGATATTAAATAGTATTGTAATTTTGTTGGTATTTAATACTATTGAATAAAACGTTTATTTACTTATTTACAGATGACAATGATAAGAATTAGACGTTTTGATAAACCAGGACTTATTCAGAGACGTATTAATCTTAAGATACACCGGTCGTTTTCCATCTACAGATTCGATGACAAATTAGCTCTGTCACTAGATCGGATGATTTACAACTATAGAAGGGTGTAGATACATTTTCATCGAACCATAGAGAGCAAGATGGTTACCAGGAGGCGTCTAATGAGATCCCATCAAGATGACTCGCATTCTCCTAGCAACGGGACTGAATTGAGTGTTTGGACTAAGAGGGTATTATAAGGATGCACTTATGATATATTTGATTTAGATATATAAATTATATGCATTAATATCTGTCATAGACAATAAGGGGGATGTTTGTACAAATTAACAAAATTGGTCCTCCTTAGATTACAAAAGCGCCCCTAGAGGATGGCGAGATGAGTCCATATTTCTTTCTTTAAAGAGTCCTTCGGGTGTTGTTGTTGTTGTTGTGTTTTTTTTGTTTGTTTTTGGGGTGGGGGGGGGCTTAAAATTTACTGCCGTGTATTTCCGAATTTCCTTTCCTAAATTGTCCTTACTAAAATGGTCGGGTTTGGACAATAGCGTCTTGTTCCCAAAAGTGTAATTTTCTGAAATAATTTCTTGTTTCACCCACCTTTCGAAGTATCCATAACTGTGTAAGTCGAATTTGTCAGTATCCTTTGAACATCCTGAAGTGAACGTTTTTTTTTTTAATTTGGACTATTCGTTACCCTTTTTTGGCAATTGAAGAATAACCTATATAGGATCCTCCTCCCCCCCCCCTTCTCTTTCGGTGTGCTTGCTTGCTCATTGTATAGTTAAAGCACCATAGATGTCGTTGGTCTTCCTTACACAGGGTCGCAAAGACTTTCGAGAAATTGTCACCACCTGTTGTATTTCATAATTATACAAATTATGTTCGGAATTCGTAATATATAATTATGTCACTGCAAAAGTGCAAAGGTGATTCACAAGGCTATTGAAATTGCTTAATGATTTCTCGAAAGTTGTGTGATCGTGTTCCTAATGGACTTACAACACGGTTGATCTTTCAATCAATAAACTTACAAGTCGTGCAAGACAGTAACGTTTAAAGTGACATTTCCTGGAAAACCAATCAAAGCGAAACACTTAAGTATATATCATGAGAAGATAATTAATACATTTAATTTTGATGTAATATTGTTACAAGTTTTAGCTTATTATACAAGAAAATTGTTTAACATAATTCACAAGGGTTTATACCTACCTGGTTATTTGCAGACAATGGATATCTCTCTGCTTCCGTGAGCTTCTACTTGCCTTACTGTGCCTCTATAAATTAGCAAATGAAGGATAATGCTGTCGGGAATGAGTAAACCCCCAAAATCCAAATCATAGACTGAGTTCATTCCAGGCTCTGCAAAAAGTGCAAAATGTGTTCCAAAAATCAAACTAAGTGCCTCCGCCCTCTTTCAGGATTTTGCAAACGTTGTCCCCGCTTTGAGCAGATGAAATCCCGACAGATATAGAAATCACACGATGGTATTCCAGTTAACGTCTAAAGACCACAATAGAAATGACTCCGAATGGTCGAAAATGGACTAAATACCTAGAAATTTGAATCTCAAATGACAACGCTTTCTGACCATTGCGTATTATGTCCACTTGTCCACGCACGGACAAAGAACAGGTGCGCTTGACTTTTCGTCATGATCGCGATAGTTCTGTTGCGCTCGTGCTCGGCAGACGACACGCGAATGCAAATTCCGCGCGGATTTTTCGATGTTAACTCCATGCGTTGCAGGTGCAAGGTTGCCAATGGCCCTGGCCCTGTATTCTGGAATAATTGACCTAAAAAATATTTAAACTTTTAATTCAAATAAAAACTTTTAAAATACCTTCCACACTATATTTAATACCTCCGGTCATTCATGTACCTCAACTGAATTGTTATTATTGTTCATTAATTTGTTTTGTTTTGTCCTTTTTCCTAATATGAATTATACATTTAATAATAAAAGCATGGAGTTATGCTACAAGTTCATGAATTTTAATAACCCCCACATTAACATGAATGTTTGTAGTCTAATCTTATATTCTATATCTCTGCTTTTGTTCTTGTTGATTAAAGAAAATAATAATATTGAATAATTACCATGTATATCGTTTTGTTTTACTTTTTATGGAAATGTGGAAATAAATCAATTCAGTTCTATTCAATTCAAGTTTGACATTTTTGTTTTAGAGATGAAGGGACTGTCCGATCTCAAATATAAGGATTTTACAGACAAAGCTCTTCTTTGTTCAAGTGCAGGATTTTCTTGGGGGTATAAAGCGGTGACGAATCCTGTTTCAAAATTGAATTAATTGATTTTGTGCATGAAACAATTCTATTCATTTGATCCAGAACTCTACAGGGGGAATAGGAGGGCATAGGTCTCAAAGAAATATAACAAGAAAAACACAACATTATTGATATAAATTTTATAGGTCAAAACTGCTGTTTCTAAAATGCATGTAGAAGTTACTTTAAAACTTTTTTTTTAAATACACTTGTAATAATATTTTAAGCTTGCCATTCATGGTACTTTGCAAAACAATCAAAGTTTTAAGGAGAGTGGGATAGAATTTTTTTTAAATCCCCTCCCTCTCTCTCTCTCTCTCTCTCCCTCTCTCTCTCTCTCTCTCTCTCTCTCTCCACCTCCTCCTCCTCCTCCATCAAACCTCCCGCCCTACATCTTTTATCAGCGGAATAATGTGACGTAACAATAGTTTGACCATTCCATCCTGTTTATGTTAGCACAAACTTTCCGCCTGTCAACATTGGCGGCGTAACACTACTCAAATAGGAAGGACACACTACATGTCGAAGGGTGAGAGTGTAAAAGAATGATGAAACAAAGAGAAAGGAACACTTAATTAATTATCAAATTAAATACGATAAATTTCCTCTCCTTCGTCACAATTA